GCACACGCACACGCACACGCACCGGAGAGGGGCGGCAAGAAGGAGGAGAGAACGGCGATGGCCCGGCGGGTCTGAGCGAGCCTCTCTTGCTTGCTGTCGCCGGCGGTGTCGTTGTCTGATCCGACGGCAGAGGTGGGGTCGACGCTGCTGCTATCGTGCACGGGCGCAACGAAGGAGAGCGCTGAGAGGGCGCTGGCGCGGACGGCAAGCGGCTGCGCGATGTCGCACGCGATGTCCGCAAGCAAAGACAGCGTTGAGCGCCACTGGCCCGGCAGCATCTGCGTGTTGTGTCGTGTGTCGTTGTGTGTCGGGTGTTGCACGTCGTATCGTGTGTCGTTAGGCCCTTGTCTCCAATCCGACGTATCTAATTCCTCATCAGGAGAGTGTGGGTACGGCGAGCAGGAAGATGGCAGCCAATCGGGTCTCTTCATCGCCCTCGTGGGCCAATCGGATGTACTTGACCGTGTGCTTGCTCTGCAAAGGAGTGGATGGAATCGATGATGAAGACAATGATGGTGACGAAAAAGTGTGAAGTGGGGGATTCATCTTCATTGGTACCATTTCGTCGTAGGCGGCTTGCTCCTGTGGCTGGTCGAACCGGCCACCACATCCGGCCAGGAGATATATCTCGGGCGTACACAGCCCCGCCACTGTAAGGAACTGCCCACCGTGTGTCGTTGGTCGTGTCGTTGGTCGTGTCGTTGGTCGTGTCGTGTCGTTGGTCGTGTCGTTGTTCGTGTCGTGTCGTGTGTATTGAGAGATAAACACCGACATTAGTGTGCTGCAGGCCTGCAAAGGTGGACCAGTACCCGCAAGATGTCGCTCGTGTTGGTCACCCAGGGATAGTCGAGCAGGGCAGCGACCCACTTGGCCGCCACCGGCGTCGCAGAGTATCGCGTGCCTGCTCGTTGCACACGGTCACATTGTGAAAGCCATGTGTGTGAGTGTGGAGAGGTAACCTTGAAGGATGGCCATGTCGTGGAGGAGTAGGAAGCAATCCTTATGCACTTTGGGAAAACGCGAGCCCAGTCCACGAATCAAGGGGGGCACGAACGACGCTGTATGTGTGTGCAGTACAGCGTAGTTGGCCCAATTAATAATAATAATGAGATGATTAGTTATAGGCCTAATGGGACTCAAAAGATTGGGAGGGCACTTTCAAGGGAGTGGCCACAGGGCGTCTGTAGCTCCTCAAAGTCCACGCGGGCATGGAGAGCTTGAAATTCAATAGATGATCAAGCCATCTGTGCGTGAATGATGTGTTTTGATTATGAAACTCTGGCCAGAATGGCATAATTTTGCTAAGTCCCACTCAGCCGCTGGTGTGGGAAGTTGCTGCATATTTGGAATTGCGCCACCATCTGTTCTCCGCCGCAGAGTGCATTCTTTGAGCGCCGATGGTGTTGCGGGCCGCCCACGGTTCTCGACTTTTTTTATTCAAAACAATACTGCCCCCTTAATTGGAATTGTGAAATGAAAAATGAAACAAAGCTGATGGCAAACGCGAGTACCCGTTCCGAGAGGAGATTGCAGCGTGGCCCAAGGTTCGTCGTCCAACGCCTCAAAATCGTGCATCCTGTGGTTCCACCTCTCCCCTATAGTGGCCAACAGGCGACACACCACGACACACCACGACACGACACGCACGACACGACACGACACAACACACCGGAAGGAGTGCGCACCAGGAGGTGAGGCCGGCCAGCTGTTCGGGCAGCGGCGCTTCCAGGAATCCCTGGAGGGCTGCCCTCGTGTTGCCCGGCACGCCCTTGGCCTCCAGTCGCTCAGCCATTTCGCTCCACTGCCACAGAGTGTCCGCGAACCGGGATTCGAAGGCCAGCTGCCGCAACACGCCCACAGCGAACTTGTCCAGCTCTTGCACCACCATACCCTCCACCAACGGAGTCGGCAGCACCAAGTCCAGCAGACACGACATCAAGTGGGTACTAACACGCACACGCGCCACCGCACACGCACACGCACACGCACACGCACCACCGCACACGCACGCGCACCCGCGCACACGTGTGCACGTAGGTGATGAGGTCAGATCGGGAAGGGAGGAGATGGTGGTGGTGTGATGGCGCGTGTACCATTTCCTGGCCTTGGCGAGGTGATCCAACAGGCGCGGCACAACCTCCAGCTTGGCCCACGCGGTATCCACTTCCATGATCGCCTCACAGAGCAACTGCCACGCGCAGAAACGAGAAAACACCGCACACAACACACCGCACACAACACACCGCACACAACACACCGCACACAACACACCGCACACACAAACACGCACCCACAACACATACAACACACACAGTAAAAACGGGAGAGTTTGTGCTATCAAGAGAGCGAACAGTACCTGGTTAAACGACGCTGGATGAAGCCCAGGCGCCCGGAGGACTGGCACGGTCGGCACCGTACCGATGTAGCTGGGCTGCGAACTGATTATCAGTTCGGCCCGGGCGCGAAATTCTTCCAGCTGGGCCTGCACACGCGGAAGGAAGCTCGCGCTCACCAACTCGGTGATGGCCACCCTCTCACGAGTAACGAATCCGTTCCCTCTCACGAGCAACGAATCACCTCCTGTTGAGACATAGCGGTAAAACAGTATATTGATAGTATGACTACACAATATGGTCCTCTTAACATCAACATATTTAACATAGTTATCATCATTTTTAAGATATATATATATATGAAAAACAGCAACGTAAGGGGGCGTACCGCGAATGGTCTGCCAAGCGGCGTGGACGTCATCGCAGCTGTCGCCGAGGAGCAACAGCGCGTGGTCAATGGCCGCGATCGGTGGTCGTTTCGGTTTCAGATGCCTGAACCTGAGCGAGGCCAAGGCCAGAGCGGCCTTGGTCAGGACGCCCAAGCCACTGCCGCTGTCACTATCCCACAGCCTGAACAGCAGCTGGCCCACATGCTTGACCTTGTCCTCGTTGCCATAATTCAGACTGCGTGCGTGTGCGGCGGTGCGTGCGTGCGTGCGTGCGTGCGTGTGCGGTGGTGCGTGCGTGGTGAGCCACACGACAAGTCACTTTCCAATGGTTGTGGGGAATCAAACCGAGAGAGCACTTCGAGAGCGATCACGGCACAGGCGCGCGTCTTGTCGTGCGTCTCGTGCTCGACGCGGCCCATCACAAACGGAATCAGGTCCCTGGAGTCAGGCGAGCGGCAGTTGGAGCTCAGGAACTCGAGCAGAACGATCTTGAGCTCCGCCCGGGTCTGCTCGCTCGTCTGTCACACAACGTCGCCAGTGAGCACAACACGCACACACGCACGCACACTCGCACACACATACAGAAGACGCAAGAAGCGCACAATTAAGGCGAAGAGGTGATTGAGCCATAGGTCGCAGTCGTTGGTGTCGATGTCCTCACGACACAGCAGGCGCGCCAGGAAGCACTCCCGCTCGGCCGCTGCGTCACCCGAGACAGAGCCGCCGCACTCTCTGGCCTCGGCCTGTGTTGTCGGAATTAAAAACAAAATAATAAAGTAACCAACAAAAAGCAAACGATAATTAAAATAAATAAATAAAAATAAAGCCTTTACCTACCTGGTGGAGCAGGGTGTCGGCGATGAGCGGGCACAGCTGGGCGTGGATGTCGCGGCCACCGGTGGCCAGCGCGAAGAGGAGGTGGTCGTGCGCGTAAATGTCGTCCGCTTCCACTGGCCGCATGGTTTGCTCCACCCACGCTGCAATCACCAACAAGGTGAGACCACGAAATAGGGTGGTGGTGATGGGGGGGCAAGGTAGTATACTGCGCAGCTGGGCGGCTGTGGGTGACTCCATTCCTGGACCGCTCCACGCCGACATAACAAAACAATGTCCCCGTTGGAGTTCTCGCGAAAAAAAAGGGCCAAACTGGACCCTTAAAAACATGTTTTCACTTCACTGTACAGCATTGGTGCGGATCTAAACAAACACATAAGCACGACGCACACGATGGCACACGGCACACGGCACACGGCACACGACACACGACACACGACAGCCTCGGCAGCAGCGGTGGTAAAAATTATTGTGGTGGTCAGCGTAGAGAGCTCAAGGGCGTGCGGGACGGCCAACGGGAGCGGTGAGCCCCAGCAGCCGCACTTCGTCTTCCACCTGTTGGAGGTTGGCTGCCCACCACACCAAGTTACATAGATCATGCGAGTGTCGTGGCCATGAGCGTCGTGCCGTGTGCCGTGGCGTCGTGTGGAAAAGAAGAGCGTGTGTATGTGCGGGAGAGTACCTTGGCCGGAGAGCACGGCGTCGACGTGGTACTTCATCTCCTCCTCTGTGGGCGCTCGCTTGCAGTACACCCGCATCTGCCCGTGTCGTGTGTGAGGTGCATGTGACGTGTGGGTGTGTAGTGTGTAGTGTCAATGCGGAGCCAGTGAATGAGCCACACACACACACACACACACAACACACACACAGGCAGGGTAGTGGAAATGTACCAATTCTTTGACGTATTCTCGGATCTGGTGCACCTGGGCGTCTTTCTTCTGCTTCTGCTGCTTGGCGTACTCCTTGGCCTCCTTGCTGAACCGAATCGAGTACTCTGCGACACAGCACAGCACACAGCACACACGCCAACAACTAAGAAGTTGAAAAGAGGCTAACTAAGGCCGCAACTGCGAATGAGGTCCCGAGAGAAGCACACACCAGCTTGCGTCAAACTGTAGGACCCGTTCATGATCGAATCCACGTGCCACCCTGACAATGGGGGAAAAGGTGAGAGTTTGTGTGCGTGGACCCACAAGAGGACGGAATGCGGTACGGAATGTGGCGGGATCGGGCAGCTTTCCGCCCGTGTAGACGCGGTACAACTCAGTCACGAACTACACGACACGACCAACGACACGACCAACGACACGACCAACGACCAACGACACGACCAACGACACGACACGACCAACGACACGACACACACGAGACCAAACCGTCAACCAAACTGCGGCACACAGCGAAAAGCGTAACAACCGCCGGCGCCACAAACCTGCTTGACTTGCTCGAACTCGAATTTGGCGGCCTTGTCGCTGCTGCCGCCGCCCAGGGACGTGCTCGTCGGGGGCACCATCAGATTGGGAATCGAATCGGGCGATGGCACAGGCAGCGGCGCCGCACCGGTGGGCGGTTGGGCGTAGGTGTAGCCCGATATCGATGGCTGCGGCTGCGGCTGCGAGTGGCCCACCATCGGCATCACCGGCGCAACGGCAGCCGTTGGTGGCCATGCCGCTGACGGGTCAGCCGACGCGTAGTGACTGTGAGGGGACGCCCCGACGGCTGCAACGGGGAAAGGATTGAAGGTGGCGGGCGCAGTGGTCGGCAGTGCGGGAACAATGTAAGGAAGCGAGGATGATGATGATGAAGGAGAAGAAGAAGACGATGATGAAGAAGAAGGTGGAGATGAGAGTGGCGGCGGAGAGGTGGGCAGGGAGACGTTGTTGAAGAGGAGCTCGTATTCGGTGAGCGAGGTCGGGGCAGGCGCGGGCGGCGACGCTGCACGCGATTTGGAAAACGTGAACTGGGCCGGACGCGCAGCCGCAGCCGTCTGGGTTGTTGTCGTCGTCGGCGCTGGCGACAACTTGCTAAGCATGGCGCTTGTCGACAACAATGATGACGCCGTGGGCGTCAGCGGCTGGGCAGCCGCCGCAGTCACGGCC